GTTTTTATTTACATAATCAAGAAACACGTTTTTCATTGCTGCTTCACCAAGACATGACTCTGAGAATGTCCTCATGATCCTGAAACGCTGGTTAAAACAAATTACTTTTAACCTCTTATAAAACAAACGTGTCTGTTGATGATTATGCCACTATACTGAAGCACCTGCATACTTGCTACCGATTTGCTAACTTTCTGTAATATTTGATATTTAAGTTGAAAACATGAACTGCTGTAACACAAATTTCAAATGTTCTAGTTGAGCACTTGTTTCTAATCAACTAATCATTATTTCTGTGATTAGTCAGCTTTTTCCTTTTCAATAAACACATGGAAAAATTACAATTATCTTACTGAAAAATGGTTTAACAGTGTTGCACATGTATATTAATCTGCACTGGTTTTCACAGTTATGGCATTCTTCAAGTGAAAAGATATTTACAATTGATTACTTCAAGTTCCTACTATTTACATTTTATGCATCGATACTGTAAATGGCTGTTTACTAAGGCATACAAAGTCAGTGCCTGTACACAGGTAGTTTGCTTGTAAATCTACATATTTCTGTTCTATATGATCCTGTATTCTTCATTAATGCTACTTACAAATCCACGAGTCTGTAGAATTGCCTTGTTTATTTGAGCAGGTATTGAACAATCCTTTTAGTTATTAACAAGTTGAGTGTGTGCTTAAGAGGAGTTTAAAAGTGTTAGCCTTAGAAAGTAGATGAGCCTCTCCCACAAACCACATTTTTTAAATTTAGGACTTTACGGAGTGTGCTGAAAGACAAAATGAGGCTGATCATCTCCATTTTTACAGGAGGCAACCCCCTGCTTACTAGGCAAGAACCCGTATGAGAACATTCCATGTGATCTGTAAACTAAATAATGTCTGGAAACCACCAGGGACCAGGCCCAAAAGCATCACTTCAAAGACCTGACAGTCTGAGCTGCTTTGTGTCATAAGGTGCAAACACGAGAAACCATTTTAACATCCAGAGATTCTTACAGAAGGAACAACTCCAGCTGATATGTTGCATTCATTCGATGTCTTCCTAAATCTATATCTAATTATAAATTTGTAAATATTTTTCATAAATTGTAGTGCTCAAAACCTAAAGAGACAGTTGCTTCAGTCGATCTGTTCTGCTTCTGCAGCCAGACACTAAGCCAATCCAATAAAAGTACAGGCACTGACTTTGTATGCCTTAGTAAACAGCCATTTACAGTATTGATGCATAAAATGTAAATAGTAGGAACTTGAAGTAATCAATTGTAAATATCTTTTCACTTTATTTTATTATTATAGTTTGAAGAATGCCGTAACTGTGAAAACCAGTGCAGATTAATATACATGTGCAACACTGTTAAACCATTTTTCAGTAAGATAATTGTAATTTTTCCATGTGTTTATTGAAAAGGAAAAAGCTGACTAATCACAGAAATAATGATTAGTTGATTAGAAACAAGTGCTCAACTAGAACATTTGAAATTTGTGTTACAGCAGTTCATGTTTTCAACTTAAATATCAAATATTACAGAAAGTTAGCAAATCGGTAGCAAGTATGCAGGTGCTTCAGTATAGTGGCATAATCATCAACAGACACGTTTGTTTTATAAGAGGTTAAAAGTAATTTGTTTTAACCAGCGTTTCAGGATCATGAGGACATTCTCAGAGTCATGTCTTGGTGAAGCAGCAATGAAAAACGTGTTTCTTGATTATGTAAATAAAAACATTTAAGAGCATATTTTAGCCAAGAAAGCTCATTAGCAAATTCTAGTTTAAGGCTTCTATAGGAGAACAACAAGCAGACATGTTTCAAACTTTAATTAAAGTGCTCTGATCCTGGATCTGGGAAGGTTCTGGAGTGGCTGGTCTGAGGAGCTGGAGAGTGATGATGGAGAAGCAAGACAGAACATCTTCAGAAGCTCCTGTAAGACAAGTATAACAGTCGTTAAAAAAAAAAAAAAAAAAAAAAAACAATAGTGTGGCCAGGTGGATAAACGAGGACTCGGACGGGATTCGATCCCCAGACTACCGAGTGAGAGTCATACGCTCTAACCAGTCAGCCAAAGGAACATTTCCTTGGCTAAGTAGCCAGGGCACATCATCAATCGGGATGTTGCGACAGCACACACACACACACACACACACACACACACACACACACACACACACACACACACACACACACACACACACACACACACACACACACACACACACACACACACACACACACAGTCACAATAGTAAATACTGAAAGTGGATGAACTTAAGAAGAATGGAGTTTTGGACAGAAAGAGCACTGATGTTTCAGCTGGACTCACGAGCCACGAGGACAGACTGATACGGCAGCCACACTTTTAAGTAATCAGTAGTCATACGCTCTAACCAGTCAGCCAAAGGAACATTTCCTTGGCTAAGTAGCCAGGGCACATCATCAATCGGGATGTTGCGACAGCACACACACACACACACACACACACACACACACACACACACACACACACACACACACACACACACACACACACACACACACACACACACACACACACACACTGTCACAATAGTAAATACTGAAAGTGGATGAACTTAAGAAGAATGGAGTTTTGGACAGAAAGAGCACTGATGTTTCAGCTGGACTCACGAGCCACGAGGACAGACTGATACGGCAGCCACACTTTTAAGTAATCATCAGGTCTGACTGAAACAGCGTTTCTGCCTTTTACAGGTGGACAGAAAAAATAATAATGTTGACACATTGTTGATAATATTACTACATTTCAAGGCTTTTTCAATACAGTGAAATTAGTTGAAACAGAGCCGAGTTGTATTAGAAAACAGTAGTCCGCACAGCCCGACAGCCCGGCGAATCTGGGATGAATTAGTGCTGCCTCAACCTCCTCGTCTTTCATTGGGTCACTGGAGTTTAAATTAAGTGGATGCGAAACCCATGGGGAGGGCTCTGCATAAATGAGAGTAAAGTTGAATTTTAAACGCGTTAAAACTGTCACAAAGTGGCGTTAAAAGCGGCGTTTTATGTCACAGGACGGCGAAAAAAGCGGCGTTCAATGTCCGTACCAAACGCCGTATTTTACGCCACCCACACAGAGAACGCGTCTAGGATTAGGGTGACGTAAAAAACGGCGTTCAATGTCCGGAAAAAACGGCGTATTTTACGGGCGTTCTACGGGACCGTTCAGAACGGCGTAAATTACGGCGTTCTGGCAGAGTTTTCGCCGTATTTTACGACGTCTTGGCACATCAAACGGCGTTTTTTTCGCCATTTCTTAACTAGACGGGTTGGGAAAGTGGCGTATTGTGACGGTTTTGGCTTGCCATACTTATCCGCCGCGAACATTTCATTGCGCGTTTACAACAGTCAACGGCTCAACTACTCCAGCTGCGTCCTGCACGCGGCCGCTGTAACATTCACAAAATCGCTCCAGTAAAACAAAATAATTCACTTGCGATCGTTCATATCAGCGCATATTCTCTGGTATTTTGTGTTTTTCTGATGTGCTTTGCCTCAGCTGAGTTCATAATCTGTGCCCCGGTGATTTCAACTCATTGCTGCTGGACCGCCGCGCATGTGAAGATTCCTTTGGCTGATAGTTAGAAAGTAGGAAGTCTAGGAAACAGTTTTTTCTGGAAGACGGAGAAAACATGAAGCATGCAGGAAGGTTAGAGAGAGAAAGGGCAGGAAATTATTCAAATAAAATCAAGAAAACAAAACTAAGTGCTTGAAAAGAAAAAAGTAGGTAGATTTATCCCCAATACACATTTTTACCAGTGAAAAGCAATAATATATAAGCATTTAATATTTATACATGTGACAGAATCAGATCACCCCAGAAGTCAGTCCCACATCCAGGGCCGTATCAAGGCATTTGGGGACCAAGGCAAATATAGGCTTGGAGCCCCCACCACCTCACTCCCTGCTCAGTTAATATAAGATGGCAGCGTGCTGAGAGTACAGATTGTTGTTGCATTTATTTAATAAAGCACTGTTATAATATCTGACTGTTTTTAACAGCAATCCTAGCCCAGACACCACACCACTTTCCACATATATGTCGTGAGCTCACTGAGCGTCACATGACCAGATTCATATTGAAGTTGAATTGGTGAAAGTAACTTAGAGTAATGCAAAAGTAGTGTAATGCCTTACATTTTAAAATCAGTAATATTGTAATGTAATGAATTACTTTAAAATGAGGGTAACAAGTAATAAATAATGCATTACAGTTTTGAAGTAACTTGCCCAACACTGCCCACTAATAAGTGTTGGTGAGAACCTGAACATCCATCTGCTGTCTGCCTGTTCCTGCAGGGCTGGACAGAGCTGGTGCTTGTCTTCAGGGATCACTGGGAAAGAAATGGGGTGCAAGCTGGCCAATTCTCCGGGCCACTACACACACACACACCCAAACACACGCCTGCATGCACACACACACAGACACACACACACACACACACACACACACACACACACACACCCAAACACACGCCTGCATGTACACGCACGCACACACACACACACACACACACACACACACACACACACACAGAGTTTAAAAATGTTACAAGGTTTAATATTATATTATGGGGGCTAATATAGTGTAGAAGCAAAATAACCTGTCCCTCTTTGTTTGAACGTTTCTGACATTACCAATGTTCCTTTGTGTTCTACTCCATATTAATGTTACATATTTTATACGGGTAGTATAAGATGTTTTGTACTGATGCAAATGACAAACGGCCTCATCTGCAATAAATGTACTCGATGTTTGGGTTTAAGGGCAAAACGTTTGAACCCTTGTAATATTCAACAGTGGGTTAAGGTTAATTGTATTTATTTTCAGCTTCACTGTTATTTCACTACTGTTGAACAGCAGCCTGGAGAAAAAAACATAAATTATTTCAGACTGGCCGTTTTCCAACCTAAACCTCGTTTCCTGGTGCTTGCACATTCAGTTTCATGCACCCACTCACATCCGGAGGCCACCAGGCTGACTACAATGGAGGTGGAGGTTGATGAGCTCTGAACCAGCACCGTCACCAGGATGCCCACCACCAGCCCTGCCACCGGGTTGGACAGCACAGCGTTGTCCTGGAAGATGTCTCCTGCCACTTTTCCTGGTTTAAAATGTAAAAAACATATAAATAAAGAAAAATACATTTTTAGAGGTGATAGGTGGTGATGGTGGCGCCCAAGGCACATAACATCACCCTAAAGGGCTCAACAGATCAAGTTTTGCAGTAAATGACCCAGCAGAACACAATTTGACCGTAAACATCATGTCACTGACTCATTTATTTTTCAAACATCAACTTAATGAATCAGAATCAACCTGCTGAGGGTCGTAACTCACCCCCGGCTAACTGGAAGGCAGAGCTCAGAGTGTCCAAAGAGCAGATGAAGAGGAAGAGAAGGATGAAAAGAAGAGGGATCTTTGATAGATTGATGAGGAGCTGCTTGATCTTCTCTGGAGCCACCGCTGAGGTCTGGGGGGGGCTTTCTGTTCAAACAAAAAACAAGACGTGGATTGAACTTGCATAAATAGCACAAAGCTGGCCTATTTTTCACCGGCAGGTACAAATAAGACAAAAATCTGGTGTTTGAAGGTGCTGGGTGTCTTTTACTCTGTGATATCTGCTTTCTGGACATGAAAGTTGTCCTGATTTAGCGCTCAGATGTAGAGAACAAAGCCATGCTACACGTGTTCCCGCATGCAGCCAAACGTCGCTGAGGAACAGTGGGACCACATCATCCCACTGGCATTGTGTCTCTTTTGAGCATGTTCTTGTCTAATAAGCACATGCGGCTCAGCTTTGCATTTACTATCTATTATAATTGATCTTTTTCAGAAGAATCAAACCGACTACCACACTGACACATGAAAGTCTGATTCTCCTTTTGATGCCAGCCTGGTACCTTCCTCTCTGGGCGGGGCGTACGCTTTTCCCCGTGGAGAAGAGGTGGAGCGGCGGTCGGTTTTCTGGCTGAGGCCCTCAAAGCTGTTGGTGAGGTCAAGGGTGGATCCAATGCCAGACTCCCTGTCCTCCTCCAGAGGGACTTTGGGCTGTGAGGAGAGCTGAGCAGCATCCATTTTCAGCTCTGACGAGACAGTAAGAGATCATAAGACAGAAATCTGGAGGTGAGAGGTAGATCTGAGACTTGCACTCCGTCCAGAAGACTGCAGATGAAAAGCAGGACATATGGTGCTTTGAGTGCTGTGGAGGTGTGCGAGTAATTAAAATCACAGGATGGCAGAGGTAACAGATGAGAGTGGATGTGTTTATCAGCCACCTGCAGCAGGAAAAAGAAGCCAGTGGAAACCAGCGCGTCTCATGGAGCCACTGAGAGCAGCGGCAAACACGCCATTCAAAGACAGAAGAAAAGGCGGTGGAGTTGTTGGTAAGTGGCGACTATCTTTGATTGGAGGTCAGATTGCACAGCTCGCCTCCCAACAAACCAAAGGGTCGTCAGAATCAGAAAGTCTTCTCTGTCTCCTACAGCAGCAACCTCAGCTGCTTTCAAAGCTTTTCTCCTTCACACTTCGAAGCGTCTGCTTTCACCCTTTTCCACGCCACGCTCTCGGCCGTGTTTCCGAGACTTCAACGGCAAAGGGAATACTAATGTGTCCTTTAAAAGCAGAGCGGATGGAAGTAATTACAGCAGCCGAAATTACAGTCGCTGCATCATTAGCATTGTGCAGCATCCCCCTGCAGGTTCAGATCCGTGAGGAGGCCCAGATCGCAGACGTGTGCATGTGTTTGTATGAAGAGAGTAAAGCAACGTCTACTGATCTGAGCCGAGTAAATGAGGATTTATGCAAACTAAAGTTTGTCCTAAACCCAGCGACGCCACCCTGGTGGAGCTGGTTTTAGATGACAGATCATCTGACCTTTAGATTTGCTTGATCAAACAATCTTTGAAAACAGGACTCATTATTTAATGAGCTACAAAATACACTCCAGGAGTTAATTCACATTAAAAAAATGATTTTTTTTAGCCCTTTGATGCATAATGGTCACTACAGTGGACAGGTACTCAAAATTGTTATTTATTTATTTTTGCTACTAAGCACAGCTGTTGAAGACTTTATTGCATGTGAGCCCCTCCATTTGGACTTCAGTAAGGCAAGCCAACATATTTCATGTTCAGAATGCACGCTGTCCACTGAGATGGACATGTAATAAAGTATTTGTAAATTAACAAAATGTTACAAAAATATTTGTTGAAATTTGTTTCATTCACACCTAAAGATGAATGAAAAAAATTGTTTAAAAAATCATGGTTGAAGATTTCCTAATTCATGCATCAGAGGGTTAAATCACTATTTTACTGGCTTTTCTTCTAAAGATAAAAAAGACTGTTGTTTATCAAACTTAACCTTGGACTGACTGATTTGTTTTAATAGGTGGATCTAATTTGTTGTTCTTTTATTTTGTCAGATTCATTTGAAGTTACAAAGATTTTATTATGTTAAATGAATGTTAATAGACTAATCGCTTAATTCAACAGTAAACTAAAAGCAGCAGTACTAAAAGACTAAAGTTAAACTTGATAAAAACTAAATAATGTTACCTTACAACAAAATAAATGCTTAATTATAAATGAAAGAAACCAAGATGTTTGGCACAAATATTCTGATATTCATTTTAAAATCAATTACATTCAAGCAGCGACAACTAAATTAAAACTTGTGTTTAGAAAACATTTTTCTGTTTAATCAACCTAAATTTGGTTGGTTTTTTTAGAGTGCATTTACCATAAAATACAGTATTCATTAGTGTGATGTCAAAACCACCAACCCATTTCATTTATTTCGATCATCCAGTGAAACAGAAATCAATTAGTAATCTACAAGCATAACATTCAGAAAAAGCAACAACATTTAACTCATGAAAGGGGAGGATGGTGGGGAAAATCAAGACACCTGCTCCTTTCTTGTTAAATACTACTAAGTTTATTATTATTCCAATAATTCATACAGGTGATGCTGACATGCTAGTCTAACCTCTTACCTTGTTTCAGACAGTCTTTGTGTGGCATCCTGTGAAGCGAGGCATCAGACTGAGGAGTAAATCATCTTTAAATATGCTCTCACGTCTGGAGCCGACACCACCTGTGCTTAACTTGTAACAAGACTGTTAATCAGTGGCACAAAGTTAATGATGCATTAGCTAGACAGGCTTAAATATTTGCTAATGACTGATATTTGGTGTGTTATTTTGTCTTTTGGTGTAAAGTCAGATAAGAATCCTCAGAATCAGCCTCCGGGAATAAACTCATTATCCTGTCAGAGCTGTTGGCAGAGATAAGACCTGGAGAAATGTGACATCTAGTGGTGAATGTGGAGGAATGTAACACACACACACACACACACACACACACACACACACACACACACACACACACACACACACACACACACACACACACACACACACACACATCAGGTGCAGAGTGCTGTTTAACAATTTAGACTAATTGTTAATAATTATTCTGTAACATCAGCAGTGCTCTCAACCTGATGACCAGTGAAACCTGATGACCCCGGACCTGCGTCCACAAGCCCAGAGGAACAGAACCTCATAATCCCATCAGCTCTGACGGTAACATGTCTAACTATTAGCTGGGAACGAGTAAATGGCACACACACACATACACACACACACACACACACACACACACACACACACACACACACACACACACACACACACACACACACACATACTTGTCTCTGCATCTTTTTGTGGGCCCTTCATTGACTTCTATTCATTTTAGTGACTCTACTATGCCTAGCCCATACCCTAACCCTGACCATAACCAATGCTGATCTATTCCTAATCCTAATCCAAACCAAAGTGAATCTACACCATACCTCTAAAACTATGTTTAAGGTCTTTTTTTCATTGTGTAGACCAGCAAAATGTCCCCACAATGTGGACATGTCCACACACTACAGGTTAAAGTAAAAATGTGTCCACTTACACATATAAACACACACACACACACACCACATGCACTTCTACTTTATATTTTAGTATTGAAAGTTTAATTGTAACTATACAAGTTCTGCTGTTTGATTTATACTATTTCTGTTATGCCCCCCTCTGGCCCTCCACACCCTCTCCACACTGGTTGCCTTTAGTTTCCTCGCTCTAGTTTTGGCTGATGTTGTCATAATCCCTCCCGCCACTAGTCACCGGCCACTTATAGTTTATTGTAATTCTGTTGTTCAAGTTATGTTTGATTTGTGAAGCACTCTGTGAATTTTGTCTGTGAAAAGTGCTTTATAAATACATTTCTTCTTCTTCTACACATACACACACATACACACACACACACACACGCACACGCACACACACAATCACATACACAGCTAAACTGATACCCACATACACACCTACACTCACACCCACAAACACACCTCCATATTGCAAGTAACTCCTTCTAACCTACTGGTTATGAACTCCAGTCCTTGAAGTCCCAAGCATGTTTTAGTTGTTTTTCTGCTCTGACACACTTGATTCAATGGTTCAATAACCTGTCTAGCCAGTTAATCACCTGCTGATTGAAATCAGGTGTGTTGAAGCAGGGAAACAACTAAAACATGCTTGATAGCGGCGCCTCGACCCCTGCTCTAACCCATTTTAGTGTCTGAGAGAGAAAGCTGTCACCTGTGAGTGTGATTATGTCATCGTCCTGATACCAGGAAGGATGTGAGATACTTCTGCTGCTGAACAGTTATGTGTGTAACACATCATGTCTACTGGGGCACTAGAGGGGAAACAGAAAGGGGTGGGGTGTTACAAGAAGCATGGCAACAATAACAGGGCGGAACAACAGTGAGGTCATCATCAGGACTAGACGTGACACGAGTCACAACTCTGGTGACTTTAGACTAGACCTGGAGCTTTTCCACCAGTGACTCGTGACTTCACTTGGATTAGATAATGCTGACTTGAAAATACTTGGTGTGCATTTGTTTTTCCTAGAAATAATTTGTTATTATTCTTTACTTTGAGCAACAAATGTGTTAAAGTTACTGGTTTAACACTGACAAGTCAGACCTGTGGAAAGACCTGGGACCTTCGTGTGAGACAACATTTACACCTACAAACAAGTTAGTCATCACTGAACAACTAGTCATCTGCTAGTCAGCACCATCAACATGTGCTACCTAGAATAAAAGATTTACAGTAAGTTGAAACTGAAACAAAAAGCACCCCCTAGTGGCGAGCCTAAAGTCAACCCACTGCATTTAATCAAATGTTAAATATTCTTTACTAAATAAATAAAACCACCTCTGTACTCAAACTGCATCGCTCTGTGCTGAGTTCAGAAAAAAACGTGTCTCATGCAATCTTTTATTTTTGGTACACTTCTTATTTCTGGGGTATTTCTGTTTAGAAGTGTGTCAGAACGTCCAATGCTCCAAATGTTTGGATATTTGATCCCACAGATAAATAATCTGTGTGTATCTGAAGAAACAAACTGAAAAGATTTTTATACTAAACTTAGTAAAAATAAATTCTTTTTGAAGCTCAGACCTTAAAACCTTTGTGCTTTTGCACCTCTTAATTTGTTACACTACCAAACAAAATGAACTTGTTTTGCAAATGTATCTGGAATTTTTGTGTTGTGGTCACATGATTTTACATGTTTTAGTCAAGCTGCCAAGATTCAAGGAAGTCCCATGTTTTACCGTAACAGCTTCATCCTCACTAGGGTCGCGGGGAGCAGGTAGAGAGCCAGGGGGCAACCTGGACAGGTCCATCAAAAAGGACACACACGGGGACAAACACACACACACACACAATTTAGAGTCTCCAATGACCCCAACATGCATGTTTTTGGTTTGTGGGAGGAAACCAGCACACATGTTGACTCCATGCAGAAAGAGTGCAGCTGGGTTTCAAACCTGCAACCTTCTTCAGCAACAACTGTGCCACCATGCATATCCTTCAGTGCTCCTAATTTAGATTTTTACAGTGTTTCTGCTGATGACAGAACATTCTTAGTGCATATTTTTGCACAGACAGGTGTGTTTTTGTGAACAATTTTGGTAATGCTAATGTAACTTATCTAACGTTCTTGCAGGTTGTGTATTTTGGGGGGGCATTTACAGTCATCATCACACACTGGTGAAACTACATCTCTGCGTCTGACCCATCCCTGTGGGGCGTGGTGAGCTGCAGCTGTGGCTGCGCTCGGGAACCATTTGCTCGTTTAACCCCCCAGTCCAACCCCTAATGCTGAGTGTCAAGCAGGAAGGCATTGGGTCCCATTTTTAAAGTCCTTGGTATGACCCGACTGGGATTTAAACCCTGATCCCCCAGTCCCAGGGCGGACACTAAACAAGGTTTACCAATAATATTCTTTAAAATTATCTTACTTCATTTAATATAACGCTGAACTGATTTTATAGCATTAAAGCTCCTTTAGCATTTTTGTGCCATTGACTCAATTTTTTTTTCTAATTAGCCTGAATATTAGCATTTATTGTTAAATTCCCATTAGTTGTCACACACACTGATGTGTGTGCAAAATTTGTTCCCCGCATTTGACCCATCCCCAGGGGGAGCGGGGAGCTGCAGACACAGGAACCATTTGGTGGTTTAACCCCCTAATCCAACCCCTTAATGCTGAGTGTCAAGTAGTGGTGTGCATCTCTACCTGCCTCACGATTCGATCTGATTCCGATTATCTGCCTAACGATTCGATTTGAGTCTGAAATGCATCACGATTCTTCACACAAAAATTTTCATTACTTAATAAAAGCAGAAGAATAGTTTTCAATTTCTTTTTGATTTCGAAATCCCTGAAAAACAGAACATTCATCGATTCACTATAGTGAGCAATAATGTTTAAAGTGTGCTGCCTATAATTACTTAAATAATATAAGAAATAATGTTTTCGGTAGAGCAGCTTTAAGATAGAATATTACTGAACTTAAAAATAGTAAACAAATACTGTGTTAAGTGATTCTTTCACATCCAGGATCCCAAAACAGAAATTAGCCCAGACGTCCGATTTAAATGTAACGGGTACATCTTTGATTACTGGTAATGTTGGCCCTGTATCCCTGTCCAATTGCTTCTAGGACAACGCAGTGCGCATGTCATTGCAACTCTGCCCCCAGAAGTAATTGTAAAACCTCAAAATTGTATTGTCCTCGCATAGACATAGACCAGGGGTCGGCAACCTGTTGCCATCAAAGAGCCATTATTACCCATTTCCCACAGTAAAGAAAACACCGCAGCAGCCGCGGCGTTGTGGGCGGGGCCTACCCTCAGACAGCAGCCGGTACCGGTCGCTCGTGTACGTCAAAGTTATCTTTCATAAGAAGATAATCAATAAAACGATTTATATAAAGTGGATCCAGAAGTTGTAGCCCGTCTCTGCCTACAATATGTTGATATTTTTCACCCTGTTGATGGTTTTACTGAGCAGGTGCCACTTTTGTCATACGTTTCTTTTTAAAACATGTTTAGACTGTTCAGAATACAAATCCAGGCTCTGTCATGTTTGATTGTTGTAATTAAACTTTGTCGGTGGGGGAGGTCAGAAAAGGATCCGATCATTTTGTTTTTCCCTCATTTACAGTGACGGAGACAACGGTGCAGTGCGCCTGGCTCTGGTGTTAATCAAGTTAAATTTGATCTCTTTTCACAAGAAAACAAAACAGTTAAAAGCAGGGCTTGTGTTGTGTTGACCGGATAGTTCCCGTTTTTGACTATTTATTTTGACGGAGAAAGAATAGAAAGACCCCGACGCATGCAGACGAACTGACACTTTATTCGTTTCGCACATCGCAGATGTAGCTAAATCATTTGATTCCCATCTGAGCTGGACACGGAGCTCAGCGCAGCTCGCTGTCAGCGCGTACGTACGGCGCACAGTGAGGTGAAGATGTGGAGAGGGGCTTGGAGCACGTCGCAGAACCAGGGCGCATGCAGATTCCTCCGACTGAAGCGAGACTTTTCGCTTAGAAAATGTTCCCTGATTATGAAACTTTGGCTGAATAGCACTTGTTCCTGTCTCCAATGTGGCGACACATCCAGGAGCTGAGGAGAATCCCAGAATCTCACATCCTCGTCAGCTCAGAACACGCATATGATTACGCACAAGCGTGACGCGTCTACCCGGTCTCACAGTAAGACCGGGTTGGAACTGTTCAGTTTTACGCAGACAATCTTTACATTTAGAATTGGCATACAGATGTAAAATTAATGCAGTAAAATATAAAGCATTTTATTTAAATATCCATTCATTATTTTACAAGCACAGAGAGCCGCATCAGATGGATGGAAGAGCCGCATGCGGCTCCAGAGCCGCGGTTGCCGACCCCCGACATAGACATAGGGAGAGAATCTCATTATGTCACGTTGCTGCATCGATGCGGAATCATGCACGGCTGAATCGCGATGCATCTTAGAATCGATCATTTTTCCCACGTCTAGTGTCAAACAGGGAGGCATTGGGTCCCATTTTTTCAAAGTCTTTGGCATGACCCAACCAGGAATCGAACCCCTGATCTCCCAGTCTCAGGGCGGACACTCTATCACTAGGCCACTGAGCTGGTGGTATTATATAACATGTATAGCAGGGCAATACATGACACTGCATTCAAATAAACAAATGAATAAAAATATTTTTATGCCCATTTATGACAGGCCAGCAAGGGCGTCAGTTTGTTTTCAGAATTGCTGGGGACAATAACCATACACTTGAGTGGGGTTTAAAAATTGCTGGGGACAATAAAGTAGGCTAGCACAGGGGTCGGCAACCCACGGCTCTGGAGCCGCATGCGGCTCTTCCATCCATCTGATGCGGCTCTCTGTGCTTGTAAAATAATGAATGGATATTTATATAAAATGCTTTATATTTTACTGCATTAATTTTACACCTGTATACCAATTCTAAATGTAAAGATTGTCTGCGTAAACCTGAACAGGTCCAACCCGGTCTTACTGTGAGACCGTGTTGACGTGTCACGCTTGTGCGTAATCATATGCGCTTCCTGAGCAGACGAGGATATGAGATTCTGGGATTCTCCTCAGACGGCTCCTGGATGCGTCGCCACATTGGAGACAGGAACAAGCACTATTCAGCCAATGTTTCATAATCAGGGAACATTTTCTAAGTGACAAGTCTCGCTTCAGTGGAAGGAATCTTCCCGCATGCGCTCTGGTTCTGCGACGCGCTCCAAGCCCCTCTCCACATCTTCAGCTCGCTGTGTACCTTATGTACACGCTGACAGCGAGCTACGCTGAGCAGTGTCCAGCTCAGATGTTCAGATGGGAATCTTTTCTTGAGTGATTTAGCTACATCTGCGATTTAAGTGGAAAAAAATGTCAGTTCGTCTGCATGCGTCGGGGTAATTCTTTCTATTCTTTCTCCATCAAAATAAACGGTCAAACGGCCAAAACGGGAACTATCGAGTCAACACAAGCCCTGCTTTTAACTGTTCTGTTTTCTTGTGAAAATTGTTGCAAAGAGATCAAATTTAACTTGATTAACACCAGAACCAGGCGCACTGCGCCGTTATCTCCGTCACTGTAAATGAGGGAAAAACAAAATGATCGGATCCTTTTCTGACCTCCCCCACCTACAAAGTTTAATTACAACAATAAAACGTGACAGAGCCTGGAATTGTATTCTGAACAGTCTAAACATGTTTTAAAAAGAAACGTATGACAAAAGTGGCACCTGCTCAGTAAAACCATCAACAGGGTGAAAAATATCAAAATATTGAAGGCAGAGACGGGCTACAACTTCTGGATCCACTTTATATAAATCGTTTTATTGATTATCGTTTTACGAAAGATAACTTTGACGTACACGAGCGACCAGGCGCGTTGCAAGATTTTCAAAAGTGTGGGAGATGTTGTCTGTGCCTAAAATAATTTCATGTTATTCATCTTGTTAGTTTAATTTCCATAATAGCGGAGCAGGTGCAAATTTTAGACGCGTCACGCATGTCTCCGTTTTAAACATGTTTAAACTGTTCAGAATACAAATCCAGGCTCTGTCTCGTTAGATTGGTGTAACTAAAGTTTGTACTGAATTAAACTTTACATTAAACCATGTTGAAAAGAAAAGGATCCGATTAAATCGTTTCCCCTCATTTACAGTCACGGAGTACAGTGCAGTGCGCATGGCTCTTAATCAAGTTTAGTTGTTTCTCTTTGCAACAATCTTCACAAGAAGGCAAAACAGTTAAATGGCAGGTTACAGATATTTCCATGTGACTGTATTTTGATGGATAAACTCAAGGATGTTGGTTGTTTTGAAAGAATTACCCCGACGCACACTGATGCGCATGGATGAGCTGACATTTTAATCATTAACGCACATCGCAGAGCTAACTAAATCAATCAAGAAATGATTCCCATCAGAACATCAGAGCATTATACTGGACACTGTGTTCAGCGCGGCTCGGAGCGCCCACGGTGGACAGTGAGCTGCAGATCTGTAGAGGGGTTCGCAGTGCAGAACCACGGTGCATGCGATAAGATTTCCTCCCACTGAAGCGGTCTGGAAACCCGGTCTCTCTGAGGGATGTGTCTCTTGGAAAAATGTTCTTTTTATGAAATTATGAAACTTTGGCTGAACAGCGCTTGTTCCCGTCTCTAATATGGACACGCATGACGTATCCAGTCTGAGGCAGAATAGCCTCTTCAGCTCAGAAAGCACCTGTAGAGACATTTGATTACGCACAAAGTTTATGTGGAGCAGAAGCAGTCGGGCCACGGCAGGTGAAATGTTCCTAGCCTACATGAAGTGAAACTGTTTAATTGTAACATTAATATGTTACTGGACACGCTGGTCTGGTTGGTTAGACCAGTGTTTGAAGTGGAACACACACACACACACACACACACACACACACACACACACACACACACACACACACAAACCAATTAAAATAATGCTGATAGCTTGGACTAGAAGACAGGTGATGGTTTACGTATTTAAATGATGATCAGGCTGCTGTAAAATGTAATCTCCATCCACATCCAGACAGAGTTATCCTCTATTCTGTCTCTATTTGCTCTGCTCTTGTCTGGGCTGACGTAGCTGATGGTGCGCGCGGCGCGCCTAACTAGCGGCTGATGCACATTTTACGCATTTGGAGAGGTGGGCTGGATGCTTTGCTTTTACTGGAAGATGGTCCACTTAACGCACAGGTGTAGACTACATGTTAATGACAAATGAATGAAAATTAAATTGTGAGTTTTTACTTCATATTTTATAAATAAAAATGACAGGGGAAAACATTGATGACGTCTTTTTAAACAAAATTTTCTAGCGCGACCTGCCTGCTTCACTTAAGTCACTGCTTATTAAGGTCCGTCCAGAATTACCGTGGGAAATGGGTAATAATGGCTCTTTGATGGGAACAGGTTGCCGACCCCTGGTATAAGATGTGAGCTGGTAAAACAAAAATCCTCATCAGCAGGCTATTTTGAAAGTGGGGGGGACACAGCTGCCAATCACAAATTTTGCTGGGGACATGTCCCCGGCATCCCCGGTTAAAATGACGCCTATGCAGGCCAGTGTCCATTACCCCAACCCTAACCACAAATTCACCCACTAAAAAAATCATATGAACACAACACGCAATACATTATTACATTTATTTCACTTCTGGTTTTGATTATATGGCAATAAAGGGGAAAAATGTGCTAAATCTCAGAAACACACAAATATTTGACCTTATTTGTGAAGCCAAAGGATAAGTTAACGTAAAAAATACTGGGACTGATGAAATGAAGACATTTTGTTTCAGCAGTTTTTTGGCACAAAGACAAAAATTTTGACTTTTTTTTTTAGAAAATATGACATGACACAAAAACTACAAAGTGAGTAAAAAATATTTTATGCCCATATGTGACACTCTAAGGCAGCTACAACTCACCCCGAAACAGGCACAAAAATTATTAGATTTTGTTTATTTTATTTTTTTTTATTTTTTATTTTTTACATTTTTCACAGTTCTGGTTTTGATCATAACCTTGGCAATGAAGGGGTTAAATCTCAGACGCACTCAAATATTTTATTATATTTTGTGAGGGCTGAAGCTAAGGATGAAATTAATGTAAAAATGGAACTGATGAAATATTATATAATATTTCTATAGGAAGTTTAAATACAGGATTTTTTTTTTTGTTCACCTGCAGCAAATATATCTAAATCCAAGTGTTATGAGGGTTAAATATTCAGGCTTGTTGGTGTGCTCTACAGGTAAAAAACCCTGAATGTTCTCATGCAGACAAACTGCATTGATCTTCTCTATAAATAAAACCAAAACAAAGCAGAATTTCTTCAACAGCATGACTTTATTGTCATCACACAGATGGTGGGCACTCAGCACAATGGGGATTGATTCAGGGGCTCCTCTCATGATTTAAGCATCATTTTATTCTAAATGCTCTGCACAATTTCCCTTGACCATATGTACATGTTTTGTTACTGATGTTGATTTCATAAATCACTTTAGCTCCTCGGTGGAGGACGAGGGCGTGTCGGAGCCATCGGGGCACTCCTGCAACACAGAGAGGGGAGGTTAATCCCTGAAATTAGGAGTTTAGACTCATATTAAAGGATTAAAGAATAAAAGTACTGACGGACCTTCACTCTGTCCAGCTCTGGCCTGCCTGGCAGGGACTTTTGTGAGGAAAAGGCCTGTGACAAGGAATAGCACAGTCAGCTGGGGTCTGAGAAGTGAACAGAAGCGGGAAAAGAGGAGCTGTCCTCTCACCTTCTTAGACTGTTGCATCTCCTCGGTGGATTTAGATCTGCTCTTCATGTGCTTCTGAGGGGAGGTGGAGGTGGAACTCTGCAGAAAGATCAGATTATGGTCAGGTGCTGGGTCTGAGTGACTCAGATGTTTATAAATTCTGATTTCCACACACCTCATTGGTCTTCTGCTCCATGTTTGACTCAGGTTATGTTCAGGTGAGGCTCACTGTTGATGGATGAGAAACTTCTTTTTAAAAATCTGGAGAAACTGAAGAGATAAAATATAAAGACTTTACTTTACTTGCATGCAACTGATGGAATGAGTGAAGTCAACACTGAAGTTTTCTGTGCTGGAGAATTAAACCTTCTGAGTGTGTCATTCCTGGTTCTTGCCACTAGGGGGTGTCTCTGGTTCAATGATCCACTGGCACTTTCACTCATTTAAACATGAATTTTCTCTTTGCATTTCCATTGGTGATGTGGTTTAATTCCCTGTCCTTGGAGGGATTTTGACTCCCTTCCTGTTTGTTTTATAGCTTGTACAAAAGGTCACAAATACCAAAAATACACTTTAATGAGAGTTCTTCTCTCTTATAGAAAAAGCAGTTCACACAGTGCCTGAATTACCTTTATTTTGAATTCCAGAAACCTCTTTTTTATTTAACAATTTCATTTCCACCAAAATCATTCAATGTAATGTCTAATTTGGCTTAAACAGAAAGGTGTTTTACATTTTAAATTGGTTTTCCTATGCCTGTGCTGGCTAGAGATCCTGCTTTGTGTGGTTTTGAGTTCTGCAGGAGAAAAGCAGTTGCAACCAGAAGAGATCAGCGCTGAGACATCTGGGAACCACCTCTAACAGACTATGTCCTGATTGGCTGAAAGCTTCACTGAAATCCATAAATAAGTTTTAGATGTCTAAAGTAATATGTATTACTTTGTTGCTTTCATGGTCAATAACGTGATATTGTTTCATTTTTATGTTCTCTGATATGGTCTTGATATAATAACTCATTTCAACATTATCTTCTGTTTGTTTTTACTCACTATGTCAGCCATAAATCACTGAGGTTAGCTCAACAGATCAGACTTAACTGGGGGGAAGAGACGGGAGCTAAAACAGTATGATACACACAGCAGATGCATTTTAATTGTTATGGATGCAGATGTTAAACGGGTGAGATTGGAATATTTTCACTCTGTGATGCTGTTTCTGATGTGTTTTCCTCATTCATCTCTTTAGCAAATACATTTTATTTTCAAGTATTTGTACTTCCAGCGGTTCCAGGATACAGATTAAATTATTTAATAGTCCATACAGGCACATGTGTGAAACAAAAAAAGAAAACAATTGAAAAGAGAAGTTTTTTAAGGGGGTGAAGCTCAGAACATGCACTCATGCACACTAACGCAGGACAAACAATGATTCCCAGAGGAGCTAAAGGCCACGGTGAATACAGAGGCACAGCTGGAGTCTGGAGCCTTTGTGACTGGGGACAAAGCACCTCTAGGTTTGGGTTCACTTCCAAGAGACTGAATGCCATGTTCTGTGTCCCTTTGTTCCCCAGCCCCTCCAGGTCCCACTCCAGGTTCTCCTTTTGTGTTCTCTTAGTGCCCTCATGTGTCCTTTGTCTGCATCTCTGTTGTGTGTCTTATGTTGTAGCTCTTTAAAATCATTCCTCCCAGGTCCTGTGTCATCCAGTCATCCTTAGCTCCTCTAGTTGTAGCTCCAGCCTCTTGTTCCCCAGATCAGTATATGTGTGTGTGAGTTTATGTGCGTGTCAGTGTGTGTGTGTGTGTGTGTGTGTGTGTGTGTGTGTGTGTGTGTGTGTGTGTGTGTGTGTGTGTGTGTGTGTGTGTCCTTCCCAGTCAGGTCTGGTGTCCTGCTCTGCTCCTCTCCTCATTGGTGATTTCACCTGTTCCAGTTCTCCACACACCTGCTCCTCGTCTCCTATCACTCCAGCCCCAGTCCTCTCCTTGTCTCATTGTTCTTGTCGGTCCATTGTTGTTGTTTTTCAGCGTGATTTGTTCTGTCAGTCTGCCCGTTCCCCTGGTGTTTTTGGATTTTGGCTCCCTGCCTTTGGATTATCTTTATTTTGGGACTCATCCTACAATAAAAGGATTTTTTTCTTCATATCCACTGCTGCTTCATGTCATCCTGGGTTCTGCATTTTGGGTTCTAACATCCATTCAAATTGTGACACTGAATGTTTTATCCTAAAAAGGCAGAATCTCTGTGTGAAATTTTAACTATGGTTAGACATCTGCATAGTGTTTAAATTAAACATCCCGTGTTTCTTTTAAATGCTTTGTCTTGTAGTCAGCATCAGCAGGTGGTAACCAGCTTTATGATTTTATGGGGAAAAAACTCTGCTCTAAACAAACATCACCCCACCAAAAACACTGAAACTGTATGTTCAAAGTGTACTTTTATCACCGAAGTGAAAATGTTTTTTCTCAGCGTGCATGTTTTCACAGAGCAGTAAAGCCCCTTAAAGTGCAGCCTGACAGCAGCTGAACATAGAGTCTGATGTGACCGCCCTGAAACCACCCGCCGCCCCGCTGCTCTGCAGAAAGCCGCCAGCCTAAAGCTCGTGAGGCTTGAATAGCAGCTGATGGACCGGAGTCCCCCCCCCCCCCCCCACCCACCAACGTCAGCAGAAACACGGCTGATGCTGCAGGGATCTGCAACACAAAGTCCCACCTGAAGTGGAACATATTTGATCTTCAACCTGGCTGCAACCCAAAAACACGAAACAAACCAACACAACTGAGCCACTGGAGTGTTCCTAGTCTCCTTTATTCGAGGTTGGGTTGGCACACCCAGGGGCAACAAGCAGGCTGCTGTGCACCCAGTCTAAATGTGCACTTCAGCCCTTTGGGGATGCAGGAGAATAATCTCCGCCTTAATGGTAGGACAGGCTTTCAGTCAAGTCCTGAGTGCTCCATCTGAAGGAAATGGCCCAAATAAGAGAGCTGAGCTCCGTCTGATGACGAATCCCTCCATTGTGCACTAAACAAAGAGGAACAGAGGTTACACCGAGGGTTCATCCACTTTGTGGTGATGGTGGAAAAAAACTGAAAAACATTTCTTCACTTATTTAATCCGTTTGAGTGAGCCAATGACAGCCAAGGTGACATGTTCTGAAACCCTGTAGTCTGGGCTAAGAAACAGGAAAATGTCAGAGTTTTAAAATAAAATTATCTTATTGTATGAAGTGGACTTAAGTTTTGGTCTATCCTTACAAATAACTTCATGACTAATATTAAAAGATGTCAAACAATCAACAATCATCTGACTGAGTTATAATGATGTTTTTGAGTGTGGTGATGCCGGAGCAGCCATCATAAGCAATCACAGATGTACACGGTTCAGAGGGTCAGCAGGTCGATTTGATTATGTAATGAATCAGACTCTTCACTAGAACAACACCAGATTTTATATCGATATTTGCTAAGCTGACTGAGTCATGGTCATCTTTGAGTTTGGTTAGAGTTAGGTTAGTCAGTAACCTGTGGTGTTACTGATGAACTGGGTTGAGTCCGATGGAGACTGGCTGAGAGGCTCATTAAATCCACTGAGGGCTCTTTAGTCCTTCCATCATGGCTTTTCATAGCTTTGCATAAAAATGAGGGGAATAAACCTCACAGATTTGATTTTTAAAATGCAGCTTTCAGCAGCTTTTCTGTTTTTGTCGTGAAATTATGGTACAGATGTTCTCAACAGACACCCATTAATATTTTTAGATCTAGTTATGTTGTTTTCAACCTAGGCTACAAATGTCAACATCGTCTTAGAAAACATACTCATTTGCAAAAGTTTCAACCTTCTTCATTTTAAAACGTAACAATAAAAACGAAATTGTGGTTTTGTGTTTTTCAGAAATGGAATAAAGTTTTCTGTTTTATTATAAAAAAACAAATCTAAATTCTGTTTCTTTAAAGACCAAGTTCACTTGTTTTCTCAACACATTCACAGCGGCCCCCCGTATAAACAAATGACTTGTGAGTCAATCTCTGTGGGGGAAAGAAAAGCTCTGGCGCTTCTGTTTCAGGAAGTGGAAGGGAGCCAGAAGAGAGGGGAGCTGAAAACAGCAGGACCTGGAGTCTTATTTATTTCCTGATATTCAGACATCTCACCTCTGATTGGATAACAGTAGCATGACTATGCGTCTGACTCCGTTTGCTCTGCAGCGTTGATGTTTTACCTCCACAAACAAGCCTGGAGGAGTTCTGCTGCATTGTCGAGTTGCTAATGCTAATGATTAGCTTCTGCTAGTCGAGATGCGCTCTGCTGTTGATATCACAGTGGGAATGTGTGTGGGTTTATATTTTGACGTACATCATAGTGGACATGTGTGTTTTTATTGACATGGTTAACAGTTGGTTTGGTTGCACGTTTAATTGTTTTTTACCTGGTTGCATGTTTTGCACTAACTATGGGAGTGGACTCGCACATGGACAGTGATGACTGATTACAATAAGCAGTGGGTGTGCCCAGGGCCAGATTAAGACTTCGTCATACCCTGGGCAACAATATTCAAGGGCCCCATCATCACGACCCAAGGATCACCATAATATGGTCACATACAGAATATTTTACTGTAATATGCAGTAAATATACTCAATATTTGAATGCCTGACATCACGTAACCCACTCAGGGTAACCTTTGACCCACCTTGTGTGGACTGACCAATGAGGAGAGAGTCTTAACTTGAGGCCCTCTCTTCATTGGTCAGTCTGCATGAGACTGACTCTCAACTGACGTTCGAAGTCATTGGCAGTGAAGCGTCTCTGTGCAGCGCAAAAGCCCGGGTGGACAGTTTGTTTAGTACAGGGTGACCATATTTCCATTTCCAAAAACGAGGACAGGGGATCTGTGTCTAAGACGTCACACTATGGCAACGTCACACAATGCTTGGACCCATTTTTTGTAAGAACTAAATTAATATCAGATTCTGCCAATAAAAGGGCTCTAAAACAATAAATACTTAGCATATTTACTGCAAAATCTCATTTTTCTGCTTTAGTGCTGCAACAAGGTTTTATTAATAATAAATTATTATAACTTTTGTTTTACTACAGCATCGGCACGCTTCCTGTGCACAGATTATTAAGGATGCTTGTTTCAGCTGTGAGATTAGACTAAAGGATCAATGAAAAAATAAGTTGTCACACTGGAAACTTTCAGAGAATCAACAAATAGGGGCTTTCAAATGGTTTTGTTACTTTTTGCAAGTTTAGAAAAGGAACAGATGAGACATCATGTCTGATAATTTAGTTTTTCATCTGATAATATTAGAACATGTCAGTAATGTCTGAGGGGCTTTTATAAACACTGTATAACTAATACTCCTGTAGAGGGTATGGATTACACAGAGGCTTCTGGGGAGCCCAGCTATGGGGGTGGGGGGGCATTTTGCCCTGGCACCCAAAATGTCTTGAAACGGCCCTGGGTGTGTGACTGAGTTTTGGAGGTGATCTGAATTGTATCAGATGTATAAATATTACATGTGTATAACTTATTGTTTTATACAGGTAAAAACGTGTAGTGGAGATAAATCTATGTACATTTTACTTTTCAACACTTTGTTTTGTTTTCTTGTTTTTATTTAACAATATTTTCCTGTCCTGTCTGTCCCTCATCTTCCTGCATCGCCTCTAAACTCTCCAGAAAATCTGCTTCCTGGATTCTTACTTTTTCACCTCACCTGTTACTTTTGAGCAGATCAAAGGGATCTCCTGACCGCAAAGCGGAGAGCGCGTTTCGATGCGTCAGTGAGGTGAAATCACCGCAGCACAGGTGATGAGCTCCGCAGAGCGCTTCAGACACAAATAAGACAGAAAGTAGAGAACATGTGCGGACATGAACGATCGTGTGTTAATCATAGTTTTTTGGTTGCGCCACTTTGAGAATGGACTGTGTGCTGGACGCAGCAGCCTGGAGCGCTGCGCACCGATCATCGCTCTGCCGCTCTCTGCTGAAAAGAGTCCATGAATGATAATATAGTAATATTGGTAGAAATCTTTTTTCCGACTCCCCTGAATGTGTAGGATATACAGCTCCCCCATCCCTGCTCCTGGATGAAAAGCCGGACATTTTCATCAAGAACCCCCAGTCCGGACATCCCGGACAGAGTGAAAAGCGGACATGTCCGGGGAAAACAGGACGTACTAGTTTAATATAAAGCGGGAGATTACAGATACAGTAATTTGCTCGTGCCCTTGCTGCCCTGGGCCCTTTAGAGTTTGTGGGCCCTGGGCAATTGCCCAGTTGCCCATATGGTTAATCCGGCCTTGGGTGTGCCCAGAAGCATGCGGCCGGTGCTAATGAGGGTGGTGGTGATGGATGAAAGTAGGAAGCTACAGGGCGTGGTGTGTTGGCAGACCAAGCAGAAGAGTGGGCCAAACAAACAAAAAAAAAACAGAATCACCAGGGGGAGCGGCTCACCCTTTTTTTTTTCATTTTCCATGTGACGTAGATCTGTCAGGCTCTTCTAATCCGAGTTTCCTCATCTATTTTCTATCAGCAGCTAATGCAGGAGATGGGGTAGGAAGACTATTTTCACGTTCAGCCTGCATGAAAAACTTAGACTGGCTGATCTTTTTTTTTAATGACAAGTAAAAACAGAACTTGGCCTTTAATCTCAGAATTCAGACTTTCTTCTCAGAATTATGAGAAAAGAGAACTTTTAGTGACCCTTATCCTCTTCTGTAGATCTCAAAATCTCTTTGAAAATCATGTAGCAGTTGTGTTTTAGGTGGTCTGATGGTGGGAAAATGACTCTTTGGGTTGTTCTAGCTGAAGACCCCTGATCTAGTGGTTTATGATATATCTGTCTAACAGACAAGCTCCAATGGAAACATGACTTATGGCAGCAGGTAGGATTTAGAATCCAAAAAAAGCTCAGAGAAAAAACAACAACAAAGAGAATGTGAGAAAAAGAAGCAGTGGATGAAATCCTATCAGCTTAAGAATTAAACCAAATCTCCTCCAGAGAAACGGAATCGTTTTTGATCGTAGGTCAACACCAATTAACTCTCCGGTAAGAAAGACGACCAAAACTCCCCGAGCTAACAACTCTCTCCAGACCTCATTATAAAAGGTCTTCTCCTCTAGATGACGACCTGATAAACAAGCAGAGCAGAGTTTATTTAACCCCACTGATGTTTCCTCTTCTGGGTGTAATAGGGGGATGCCACGTGGAGAAGGCTAATTACTGGATCAGCTCTTCATCATATTATAAGAAGGTCAATGAATCTGATAACAGGAGAGTCTGAGTTGGCAGAGGCAGGATGTCCTCATTGTCACATTCAGGTGAGACACTCGCACCTTGACCACCACCACCACCCCCCCCCCCCCCCCCCCAAGCTGGATGGATTCAGTATGTCATCCATCCATCACAGCTGCTCCCTGTCCAACTCGCAGCTGAGCCCCAACATGAATATACAATCACTCCCATCACACTCACTCGTGTCCTTCACGCTGAGCAGAACATGCAAGCACTGGTTTACGAATTCCTCAGCAGGACCTAAACTACCTCTTACATTTATTCAAACCCCGGTTCATGTTTATTCCAATGAGGTCTGACTACGTTTGAGCTCACAATCAGGACACGATTGTAGATGTGAAGACAACACAGGACATTTCATCAAGAGGACGACGAATGAGGGGAGTGACGAGGAGAGACGGGGCAGACAAACACATCCACAGACTGAACAAGCAGATGCAAAAAGGGAAAAAAAAGAGTCCTGTAAATGAAAGCGCGGCGTAAACTCACCTCCTTATCCCTCCTCTTCCTCGTCTTCTCTCAGCACAGCAGACGTGCAGCGGAGTGGAAGGCACTCCTCATTTCACTGCTGTGACGGTGTCTGTGAGAGAACACCCTTCTATGCCCATTCATAGCACCGCCGACACACACGTGCACACACACACACACACACACACACACACACACGCCAGGTGCACCACTCAAAGCTCTTCAGTATCACTTTAAACAGGTATTACACACTGTTCAGTGTCTCATGCTTAATTAGTTCCTTAATAATCAATCATTGATGATGATGATGATGATGATGATGATGATGAAGGCTGGTAAGTGGGTTTGAATCAGGTGCTGACACACTCAGGATTGTGAAAGCTGCTGACATCATTCATGAGGATGAGATCATCGATGACTCATCTAAAAGGTTTTGTAACATAAAAAATCAGAATAATAAGAAAGTTCCATCTAGAATTTTCTGAAACCTTCCAGCAGTTTAAGATTGTGCAAATAATTGGGTTCCAACTCATTGAAACAGCCAATCAGGGCACAGTGATGGTCGTCATCAGTGTCCAATAACAGCATTAGACGGAAGCATCATGGAGGCATCAGGACAAACCCAAAGACTAATGTAATTACACAGTTGACACACATTAGGACAGATTGTCTTTGTGTCACCCTGAATGAGTCACACAGTCACTCCACTGAGCTGGGAGGGTTGATTCTCACTGGTTACAATAAGAGGTACAAGATTATTTTTGTTTCTGGACTTCCTACAATTTTCATGCTAGAAACATTCTTCAAAGTGTCTTGTCCATATAGACCAGGTGTGCTCATTACATCGATCGCGATCTACCAGTCGATCGCAAAGGTAGTCTGGGTAGATTGCATGACATTTTAAAAAAAGTCAGCCATCCCGTAGCCGGATTGATGAATATTGCAGCCAGTCAGTTGTTATCTGACTTTTCAGGGGCGGAGAACGGCAGTGGAACATCACTGCTGCAAAACGAATCTAATCCAGACAGTAGAGGTGATGTAAACTGGCCGTGCCGTTAAAGAGAGATTTGGGTTCTATTTTTACCATGAGCCATGTCAATTTCCGTAAATTACATAGGGCTAGACAGGGACTCACACTTTCAGTGTAAAATGACTGGTACTTGTCAAAATAAAAGTCTATTGCAGAGATCCATTTAATGGCTCCCCAGTGTGGACTGACATACCCCGAAGGACGTGAGTAGGTTCTGCTACCATTCGCGCCACTGATAGGTCACTGTGCATGTGCAAAAATGGTGCACAACATTGCAGCAAAAATAACAAGATAGCTAGACTGCAAGTTATATCACATATTTAGCTCTCGGTTTTCTTTGTTTTAAACTTATAAAATAGTTTAAAAATGAGCGGACCAAGTGTAATGATTCACGTTCGTCGTGTCCTGCCTGTCATGTTGTCTGCCCTTCTTGCGACAGTCAGCATCATTTAGTTCACCTGAACTGTGCCTGATTACCTCATGGTTCACACCTGTTCATTCCCCTATTTAAACCCTCAGTGATCTCTGCTCTCTGCAAGATTATCTGTAGTCTTTTGTCTCAGCATTCCAGCAGTTCACTGTTGTGATCTACCTTACCCCGTACCCCATTCATATCCCCGGATTGTCTCTGCCTGGCCCTTAACAGATTCGACTGCTTCTCTGACCTCTGGACTCCGATCCTGTTCTGAACCACGGCTTCCGAATATTGTCTGCTCCTCCTAAGAGGAGTTATATACACGGACAGAAGAGGAGGCAGAGTTTTCCATCAGAGGAACATTCCAGAAACTCTCCAACCCCGCCTGCACCCCCACTGTCCTTGTCTCTGTTCCACCTCTCCTCTGCACTAACCCCTCTAACAGTGCTTAGCTGCAGAAACCCAGCTCTTACCCAATTCCTCAATTATTTAAAAAATTATCTTTTTTTTACATTAACTCCTAACTGTGTGTGGCTGAATTCCAGGTTTCCAGAAAACTCATTACACCAAGTAAGAAGAGAAAAACCTTCTTACGAAATGGCAGGACATTTTTTCACAGAAACATTTTTGAAGTCAGTTTGCCTCATCTGCCAGTCTACCATAGCAATACCAAAGAAGGGAAATGTGGAGCGGCATTTTCGATCTGCTCATGTAAAATATGACACAGACTTCTCTCCAAAAAGCAAACTGAGAAAGAGAAAGGTGAAGGAACTAAAATGCCAGATGTTCAGACAGCAATAATTTTTCTCACAGCATACTTCAAAAGCCAAAGCCATCACCGAAGCATCATTCTGGGTGAGTCACCTCATTATTAAAAAAAAGAAGTCCTTCCGAGATTGAGAGATGGTAAAAGAGGTGTTCATTGATGCAGCTGACTCATTGTTCCAAGATTTTAAAAACAAGAAAGAAACGGTGGACCCACCACCCGCAGGAGGAACATGAAGGGTCCTGTGCAGTATGGATCGGGTGGCAGACCGAAGCAGGAGCCTTGGCGGTCCGATTCCCGGACAAGGAAACTGATTTTTGGGACATGGAACGTCACCTCGCTGGCGGGGAAGGAGCAGGAGCTTGTGGCAGAGGGTGAGCGGTACCGGCTAGATATAGTCGGACTCACCTCGACACATAACATTGGCTCTGGAACCCAAGTCCTTGAGAGGGGTTGGACACTCTCCTTTGCTGGAGTTTCTCCGGGTGAGAGGCAGAGGGCTGGGGTTGGCTTTTTGTTAGCCCCAAGACTCTTTGCCTGTGTGTTGGGGTTTACTCCGGGGGACGAGAGGGTAGCTTCCCTGCGCCTTCGGGTCGGGGAACGGGTCCTGACTGTTGTTTGTGCTTATGGGCCAAATATCAGTTCAGAGTACCCACCCATTTTGGTGTCCCTGGGATGAGTGCTGGATAGTGCTCCATCAGAGGACTCCATTGTCCTGCTGAGGGACTTCAATGCTCACGTGGGCAATGACAGCTTAACCTGGAGGGGTGTGATTAGGAGGAAAAGCCCGCCTGATCTGAACTCGAGTGGTGTTTCGTTATTGGACTTCTGTTCAAGCTGCAGTTTGGCCATAACGAACACCATGTTCGAACATAAGGATGCACATCGGTACACTTGGTACCAGGGCAGCCTAGGTCACAGGTCGATGATAGATTTTGTAGTCGTATCATCTGACCTGCGACCGTATGTTTTGGACACCCGAGTAAAGAGAGGAGCGGAGCTGTCAACTGATCACCACCTGGTGGTGAGTTGGATGAGAAGGCAGGGGAAGATGCCGCGTAGACCTGGCTGACCAAAACACATAGTGAGGGTCTGCTGGGAATGCCTGGCAGAAGAACCTGTCAAGATGGTCTTCAAAGTCCCACCTCCGGCAGAGCTTTGACCACGTCTTGAGAGCAGCGGGGTACATTGACTCTGAGTGGGCCTTGTTCCACTCTGTAATTGTTGAGGCAGCTGTTGCTAGCTGTGGTCACAAGGTGGCCAGTGCCAGTCCTGGTGGCAACCCCCATACCCGCTGGTGGAAACCAGAGGTTCGGGGAGCCATCAGGCTGAAGAAGGAGGCCTACAGGGCGTAGCTGGTCTGTGGGTCTCCGGAGGCAGCAGACAGGTACCGGATAGCCAAGCGGGGTGCAGCAGTGGCAGTTGCCGAGGCAAAATCTCGGGCATGGGAGGACTTTGGTGAGGCCATGGAGAAAGACTATCGATCGGCTCTAAAGAGGTTCTGGCAAACTGTCCGGCGCCTCAGGAGAGAAAGGCAGCAACTCGCTCACACTGTTTACAGTGAGGATGGGGAACTGCTGAAGTCAACTGGGGCTATTGTCAGACAGAGGAAGGAATATTTTGAGGAGCTCCTCAATCCCACCTATGTGCATTCCGAGGAGGAACCAGAGCCGGGAGACCTGGGGATGGACTGTCCAGTCTCGGGGGCAGAAGTTGCTGAAGTAGTCTAACAACTACACAGCGGTGGAGCCCCGGGGGCAGATGAGATTTGTCCTGGGTATCTCAAGGCTATGGATGTTGTAGGGCTGTCATGGTTGACATGTCTCTGCAACATTGTGTGGTCATCGGGGGCAGTTCCTGTGGAGTGGCAGACCGGGGTGGTTGTCCCCATCTTTAAGAAGGGTAACATGAGGGTGTGTTCCAACTATAGGGGGATCACACTCCTCAGCCTCCCTGGACAGGTTTACTCCAAGGTACTGGAGAGGAGGGTCCAATCGATAGATGAATCTCAGATTGAGGAGGAGCAATGTGGTTTTCGTCCTGGCCGTGGAACTGTGGACCAGCTCTACGCCCTTGCAAGGGTGATGGAGGGGGCATGGGAGTTTGCCCAACCAATCCACATGTGTTTTGTGGATTTGGAGAAGGCTTATGACTGTGTCCCCCGGGGCACCCTGTGGGGGACGCTCCAGGAGTATGGGGTGGGTGGCTATCTGTTAAGGGCCATTCAGTCCCTTTACCAGAGGAGCGTGAGTTTGGTCCGCATAGCCGGTAGTAAGTCGGACCTGTTCCCGGTGAGGGTTGGACTCCGCCAGGGCTGCCCTTTGTCACCGGTTCTGTTCATTACCTTTATGGACAGAATTTCTAGGCGCGGCCCTGGTGTGGAGTGTGTCGAGTTTGGTGGCAGGAGAATCTCGTCTCTGCTTTTTGCGGATGATGTGGTCCTCCTAGCTTCATCCAGCTCTGACCTTAAGCTCTTGCTGGGTAGGTTCACAGCAGAGTGTGAAACGGCTGGGATGAGGATCAGCACCTCCAAGTCTGAGACCATGGTTCTCGACCGGAAAAGGGTAGCTTGCCAACTCCAGGTCGGGAGAGAGGTCCTAACTCAAGTGGAGGAGTTTAAGTATCTCGGGGTCTTGTTCACGAGTGAGGATAGGAGGGATCGGGAGATCGACAGGCAGATTGGTTCAGCGTCTACAGTGCTGCAGACGCTGAGCCAATCTGTCGTGGTGAAGAGGGAGCTGAGCCAGAAAGCCAGGCTCTCGATTTACCGGTCGATCTACGCCCCAATCCTCACCTATGGTCATGCGCTTTAGGTAATGACCAAAAGAACGAGATCGCAGATACAAGCAGCCGAAATGAGTTTCCTCCACAGGGTGGCCGAGCTCAGCCTTAGAGATAGGGTGAGGAGCTCGGACATTCGGGAGGGACTTGGAGTAGAACCGCTGCTCCTCTGGATCGAAAGGAGTCAGTTGAGGTGGTTTGGGCATCTGGTCAGGAT